TTAAAAATATTTTTCTTATATTTCATTTTTAAAAAATTATCTAACCAATCAAATTCTTTACAATTTTCCACTAACTAGTTTAAAATTCAAGATATCATTTTCAAAAAAGATTATGAAAATACTTTTAATCGACTGCGAACTTCATCTACAAATTCCGCTATTCACACACTCAGGTTTCGTTCAAGAAAAACCTGAAGTATCTTCGTAATCTATAAAAAAACATCAACCAACTACGAACTACGAATTGGGACTCTAATTCTTCATAAGAGGATACACAGGCATACGACTAATATCTTGGTGAGTTTCCCCTAATAAAAATTAAAACCTTATTTCCTTAGTCGTAATTTTAAACCCTAGTATCCTTGTGAACAAGGTAGATGAGGGGTTCCTAACACCTTCTCTTTGTCTAAAATGAGTCAAACAACTTATAATCTCTAATCAAATTAAGGTTATCCTTTATATTCCTTTACTAAAGATAAAAATTAAGGGTGGCGACTCTCATTTTTAAAGAGGTTACAATAGCTGACGACTTTGCTGAGGACTCAACCCTAGGGTTTAGAAGCCTTCCTCTTAGGTTTATGTTTTTTTTGTTTGGATCTTTAATATTTTCAATATTTGTTGTTATTTATTTATTTGCTTTCATTTATTATTTTTAATTTATTTTTATCATATTATATTCATTTCATGATGTGAATTTTATTTTTAAAATAAATATTTTTTTTTTAAAAAAAAAAAACCCTTAGAAAGAAGGTTTGTCTATTAGGCAAGGGGATACATCATCTATATGACTTTATGTGACGACTTCGCCTAGAGTCGGTGTAATTTCGAAAAAGAAATACGTATCAAGAGACATCCTCTTGGAGGTTAGGACTTTGGAATGAAACCTATGACTCTTTGTATAACCCTTAAACCAAAATCTCATGGCGAGACCTTTCATGGCCTAGAGACGAAAGTTTCGGTCTACAAAGAGGATCCATTTAAGGGAGGCCCTCGTGCCTTTCCCTCTAGTGTTATCCATGATACCCTTAAGGAAACCACCTTATTTAGAGGGTAGAATATACGTAGGCCAACACTAGGAACCTACCAACTAAGGATACCTTTTATAAAATCCCACTACAATCCCTAAACCCGCAAGGGTAATATTTTCATCCATTACTCTCTTTAGCCTATAAGAATTTCTTTTTCTATGTCATAACCCCTAGCCTGTAGGAATTCCTTTTTGTATGTCATGATCCCTAGCCTGTAGGAATTCCCTTTTTTTTGTTTGTCATTATCTTTAGGACGTCTTCCCTGGTGCATACCATGTGGCCTATATCAGGCCAAAGGATTTGGTGACTATTGACCGCTCACCATATGCTCTCTTCCACACCATTCCCTCAAGTTAAAACATCATCTCAACTGTCCATTGGCTTATCATAATCCCTATCCTGTAGGGGTTATATTTTGTAAGTCACAATCCCTAGCTTGTAGGAGTTTTACATTGTGTATGTATATCCTTAAAACCCGTGCAGGGTGTCCTTAGGTCTATCTTTGTTCTAACCTCCCACTGCATCTCCATAAAAATATTTTTGAATACCCTCAAAAGCCAAAAAATAATTTTTGCATACCCATGCATTTCCTTAAATTCATAAATTTTCATTTCATGCATTTCCACCTTCGCCCATGGTCGTTATCAATCCAGCTAGCAAATATCTCGATACTCAAAGAACAAATTCCAAGCATAATTCAAGAAAGCTGCGAAGGAATCCTAAATTGGTGAAGGATAATTCTAACATTGGAAAATCAATTTATCTTGGTCCTACGAGTCTTACAATGGAGAGAAGGCGTCCCTACTTCATACAAGCCAAAGGCCTACACAACGCCCTAAATGCCACTATTATGGGTGATCCCTCCACATCAAGAGCAACTGCCATATTGACAGAGTTAGTATTCCCATAGGAAGAATCATAGATCACCCCATGCTTTGATAAGTCCAAGAACTAATAAGTATCTCCTAAAGTCAAGTGGATCAACAAAAAAAAGCTCTTCCATGGGATCATCAGGCTTATCAATTTCAATTTGTAATTTCCAAGTTGCTAAGTTGTATTTGGTGTAACTTTGTATCTTTTGATTAAATATTTCGAATAAATAATCATGCATGTTTTTGAAATCGATCCATTCGTATCCACTCTTCTATCACTTTCCACAAATAATCAACGACTTTCCATTTTCACTTTTCTTTTCTATCTTTCATTGCACAACTTTAACAAACTTCGAGGGAGAATGACGAAAACTAAATAATCGAATTTTGTTGACATATGCTTTTTAATAGTAAGACGTAGATGACGATATAAGGCATTATTTTACTTCCTAAATAGGGGAAAAATAAATAGATAATTTGTAGTTAACCCCCTCGAGCCAGATGTTGGAGTTATTTCTATTTCCTAAAAACCCGTAATCTTAACCAGGGGTAGGTTAGATTTCAATTAATTCATGGATGCATTACAATCTCAAGAGAATCAGCCTATCTACGCAAAAAGGTCTAACCACAAGCCATTCCTCACATACATCATCCAAGATCGAGAAAACAATGAAGATAAAGCTCATGACATCTTCTTTCTCACTTACGTCATACAATATCGAGGGAACAATAAAGATGAAGCTCACAAAAATCAAACATGGCAGTCACAACTTTCTTGAATCAAAAGAAAAATCTCAAAAGAAAATTTTAAAAAATAAAAAATAAAAGAAAGTCTTCTAAGTCAAAAACAAAAAACAAAAAAAATTGACTTAGCAAAAAGTTAGGGCATCCCGATGGACTGGAAAATGAAAAAGAATTAGTCCATGCAAAAATAAGGGATTGAAAATAAATAAATAAATTAGAGAACAATCTTGTGATTTCCACATCAATAAACATCAATGCTTCTCATCAAGTGCTTAAATATTATCAATGCTTCTACTCATCATCGCGACTACAAAAATTCTCTTGCATACTAAACACGTCCATTGGGTTAATTGATTTTAAGAACGAAGAATATCAAGGAGAATGGGGGCGGGATAAATAAAATTTTGAGCCTTATATCTTTTGTTTTTTAAACTGTGAACCAGGTGTTGCACCCCAAAATTTTCCCTCCTAATTTCTTTTATTTGGCTTAGGCTTAGCATGACATTTGTATCTTTGCATTAGTTCATTTGCATAACATAACATTGCATCCAATAAAGCACCTGGGTTCAATAAAATAAGTGATCATCCAAGTCAGGGTTTCCACAGTGCTGAGATGTATATATCTAATAATCTGATTTCATATGATTCTCCTTTAAGCATTGGACTGTGGCATTAGGTTTTTGGTTCATGGTTATTGTGGATTCTTTCTTCATCAAGGGAAGATTGATTAGGGAGTTGTGATTATTATCACTTCTACCACTTCAAGTCTTATCATCTTTAGATAGTTCTCAAGGTATTCCTTTTGTGCTAAGATCATTGGTCATCAAACTATGGGGGTTGTGGTTTGAATTGCAAAACATTGACCCATGGTACAAGATGTTGAATGTGTGGATCCAGTGTGGTCGAGGCATTATTACTTATCTCATTTTGCTTGTCTCTTATAATACATGTTTGATATGGATTTAAGAATCTCAGTTGGAAGTAATTGGAATTGATTGATTTGGATTGATCACTTGATGCCCTAATATCAAATTATCTGAGAGCATAGGTTTCGGGCATTATGTCTATATAGGATTCAAGTTAAAATTGAAAGGATTATACATGAAATTTCTTGGAATTTAAGTCATAATTCAACTTCATTCTCATTATGGATTCACTTCAAATTCGAGTATCATTTCCAAATCAAGGGTGCAAGGCTGAAAGATTCACATACTTGGATCAATCAGAATTTAAAGCTTACCATTTGTTCCATTCTGAAAACAAATATCACAAGGCATCCATGTTCAATTTTGATTCCAAGATTCAATTACAATCTTACAATAAAAAGTCATCAGAATCTATTCTAATCCTTAAACTAATTCAAATTCCATGTCCAAGTATTCAAGCCTTCTCAACCATGATTCATGATCTTCACTTCAAACTCTTTACAAATTCATTCAAACCCTTACACCAATAAACCATTTAGGTGTTTTTTTTGGTTCAAGTTTGCCAAGAAGTTGGAAAGTTAAATTAAGGCATAATGGAGGAAAAATAGAAGATTTATTTGGAAAAGATCATTACATCCATGTGAATTCAAGAGTTACTTCACTTATCATTACAACACACAAAATTCTATTACAACCAGGTTCACTGTTGGGAGATTTCAAAGAACGGAACCGCTCTTAACACTACTCCCAAGGCTTCATTTTCCCACGATCAACGTGTTTTGTACTCTGCTTGTAAAGATGATGGAACAATAATTTTTTCTGGAGTTATGATTAGCAGGTCAAGATGTGGCCACTTTTGTCTGGAGGGAAGCCAGTGATGGTTGTCGTGCATGATGCTCCCATCAAAGAGGTTGCTTGGATACTAGAGATGGGTCTCTTGTCCACCAAAAGCTGGGACAAAACCATTAAGTATTAAGATACTAGGTAGTCCAATCCAGTGCATGCTTAGCAACTCCCTGATCGCTGTTATACAATGTCTGTGAGGCATCCTTTGATGGTTGTGGGAATTGGAGATAGGAATCTTATTATCTTCAACTTGCATAATCCTCAAACAGAGTATGAAAGATTAGTATCTCCCTTGAAATATCAGACAAGATGTGTTGCTGCTTTTTCAGACCAACAAGGTTTCTTGGTTGGTTCAATAGAAGAAAGGGTTGGAGTACATCACCTTGATGATGCACGGTTGAGCAAGAATTTTAATTTTAAATGCCACAGAGAAAGTAGTGACATATATTTTGTTAACTCTCTTATTTTCCATCATGTACATCACACTTTTGCAACTGCTGGATCTGACGGTGCATTTAATTTCTGAGACAAGGACAACAAACAGAGACTTAAGGCTATGCAAAGGTGTGGTTAGCCCATAACTTGTGGTGGGTTCAAAAATGATGGATCCATATACGCTTATGCGGTTTGTTATGATTGGAGCAAAGGTGTAGAAAATCACAATCCAGCTAACGCAAAGAACTGCATTTATTTGCACTTCCCATAGAACTCTAAGGTTAAAGGTAATCCACGAGCTGAATCAACTGGTTGAAGGTGAAAGTTTGCTGCAAATTCAGCTTCTGGTTTCTTTAAGAAACATTGTGATTGCACTTGGTTATCAATCACCCATTTTCCATAATATTACGCTGCCACTTCTAGAGAATGAAATTGATATTAATAGTCCAAATGAACTCAGCCTTCTTGAAGATAACATGCTGTTCTGGGAGGCTACACTTTCCCAAGCCCCACCAATGCTATTATGGTTTATCATACTTTTCACTCCTTGTGTTGTGGAAAGGAATTTTGATCATTTGCAGGTTGTAGTGAACATAATTGAATATTACATAATTTTGGGTGGAAATGACTTTTAAGCATGCATGCAACAAATATTGCTAAAATTCTTGATCCAGTTGTTGGGAATGTCAATGACAAAGGTTTACTTTGTATTCTTCCAGTAGTTGACATCTTAATTCAGTGCTAAACTTCTTGATCCAGTTGTTGGGAATGTCAATGACAAAGGTTTACTTTCTATTCTTCCAGTAGTTGCCATCCTGGCAAGGGTTTTAGTGATGAGTACAAATTCACTTGCCCAATTAGCATCAGATCCAGAACCTGTTCATGAGTGTTTGCAGCCCTGCATCAACTATCCAAAATTGCAGCCTGCATTAATAAAATCAAGAGAAATGTTTTCAAACTAAGAGAAAAAGTCAGAGTAATGTTCCAAGATCATTTCACACAAAAATATGTCCCTCTGCATTTATAACTAAGTATGTCAATAGAAAAGACAAATACCTAACTACTTCTAAACATTCATAACAGGAAATCAGAGAGAAGAAAAAGGGGATCCAATCACGATTATTGTTCACAACTGATGGAGAAAACTCACAGGGGACAGACAGAAAGTACCAGAAGAATGACCAAATCCACAAAAAATGTTGAACGAACTTCTGAAAATATCTCTGCAGATTCATCTCAAAAACTGCACACCTTCATCATTTTTCTGCAACTGATTCTTCAAGAGAGCAATATCCGCTTCATAAACCAGTTCATCATATCATGATCTCATTAGCTTATCTTAAAACCGTGATCATGCTTCCCTGCTCCAGAAATAGAAAATTAACTTGGAAGCTGTATCAAAACGACATCATTCCAATAATATAAACCAATTGCATACCAGTAGTTCAGTTCCAACTCAGAAATCCAGCCCCTGCCTAAAACCCTCACAGCTTCTTGTTTAGCTTCAACATAAATCAGAAAATACAAATGGAGTATATTAGAATATCAGGAAATGCTTCATACAAGATGAAATTGGATTCACAATCAAAATAGTAAAGAATATCAAAAATTCAGTCATGAAATATCAGAAGGAAAAGAGATTATGTTGCATTCATCAATACTTCAGCCCTGCATAATTTCCATTTGCATCATGCTCAAATATAAAACCAAAAATCTATATCCAAATCTACAAAAAAAAGATTAATATCCAAATTGTACAAACATACACAATAAAGCGTATTGCTGCCATGTCTCAACAAAATCTACCCTGCACATAAAGCGGCATATACCAGTTCAATACTACAACCGAGTAGGATTTTCAAAAGAACAAATATTGGATTAGTATGAGATTGTGATCAGTGATAAGGAACAATGTTGTAGAATGATATTTTCATGGATGACACAAATCATTCAAGTGAACAAAGAATACATGCCTTTCTTAATGTTGGAATTTTCATTCCAAGAAGTGAAGTACCAAGTTTGTTCCACAAACAATGATGGAAAGCCATTTTCATTCACCTTTACTTATCGTACATATCTATCAGTACTAGACATAAGTAAAGTTTAGGTTGAGGAATTAAATACCCTGGATTATCTTGACAACTTGCAGAACAAGGAGCATTTTACTGAGTAGGGGGGCGCTTCAATGTTTGAATCAGAAATATCTTAGCACTCCAACAAAGAAAGCAGATACTGCAGCAAAAAGAATCAGAAAGTGAATTTAGAAATTCTGGCATGTGTAATAGAATTTCTCAGCTCTCTTAACTAGAGAAACATAATTCCTAACTAACTCCTCAATTTCTAACTAACATAATTTTTGTAACAAACCTCGTAACCAACCTAAACAGAATTCCCAACAGCAGCTAACCAACTTTCACTCTGTAACTAACCCTCACCCCTAACTAACTCTAACCAAACTTCTAACCATATTAACTGCAACAAAACGTAATTCAGAAAGAACTACAAAAAGGATATAATAGAAGTGGTAACGGAGGAGGGGGGATTTATTATTCACAAACCATAATAGATTCATACAGAGAAAAAATACAAAAAACTAATTTTTATCACATTCATCCTTCACCCTATGGAAGCATCACGAGGAAATCTCTCTGCAATCTTCATTCTTCACTTCTACAAAAAATCACAGAAGATCAGAAACTCTCTCTTCTCCACCATTTTTCACCTTCATCATTCACTTTCAACCTTGCCACAACCACCTTCAACCTCTCTTGTTCTTCCACTTTTTGAAACTCTCTTATCCTTATCAGACCTCAAAATCCATTTGCAAACAACAATAATATCATTTTCGTATCATTCATCGCGCAACAGAATATGTAGCAACAATAACAGAACTCAAAAAAACAGAAGAATGAGAAGATTGAGAAGTAGAAGAAGAAGTCGCGCAAAGAGTTAAGGGATTTCGTACCTGAATGTGCAAGAATCTTTTGTTTTCGCATCATCTTCATCGATTGTAGACGCACAGGAAGAACTCCGGTAGGTAAGCCTTGCGTTTTTTTCACTTCAATTTCTTCATCCTTTTTGTTTGCTATGGGAAAACAATATCGAAATTGAGAATCATACGAAACAATGATGAGCATTGAAATCATGAATGGATAAGAGAAAAGAACAAATGTGTTCATTCTCCGGCGGTGCTATGAACCATTGAGGCAAAGGTTGAAGCGGAGATGCAGGAAGACCGAAGCAAATAGGGGCGGTGATTGTGGCACGGTGAATCTTGATTGATGGTGAGGATAATTAATGAGTAGGAGACGACAGTCGAAGATTGAGATAGATAACAAGAGTGGATACCGTAGAGTACTACAGGCGTGTAGGGTGCTAATACCTTTCCCTCGTGTAACAGACCCTTACCCATATCTCTCGTTCGTTTGATCGTGATTTCACCTTTCTTAGGTTTACTCGATGTTTACCTTTCCCTTCTTGTGGGATAAAAAACATTCGATTGCGAATTTATTAATTTCATTATCAGTTAATTGTTCATCCGGTTGTTTCAGCTGGCGACTTTACTGGGGAAGGATTAACCTATTGATGGTCCATCCCAAAGTCGATCCTAGCTCTTATTTTCATTTCCTTGGGTGTTTATTTTTATGCTTTATAGCTTGTTCATTTTTTACATGTTTATTTGAGCATATTTTGGCATTGCATTTTATCGCTTTCCATATATTGGTGATACTACTATGCTGGATCTGTTTTCATGATTGGGTGGGTGTTACAAGAGGTAAAAGGACCAATACCCAGGCCAAGTGACAACCATAGGGACCCTAGGAATAGAGTGGAACATGGACGGCTATTTGACTTAGGTTTCACTATTTCTGCCATGTCGTCCATGCTCAGATGAGGTACAAATGAGGGGCTATCGTTTTCACGTAGGTGATATGGTGATAGTTTTTCAAGAGTACCCTCGATTCTGGGTTACCTAACCTTACCCTGACCTAGTTTTCACCTGTGAGAGGGGAGGGACTTGATTATTATAGGTACAGATGGTGACTATGTTCAGATGATGACTATGTTCTGATGGTGACCGTATTGTTCTATTAGTGACTATGGTTCTTTGGCTATTTTCCGAACCTTTGATCTTGGTATATTCAACTTGGCCAGAGGTTATACAACAGTTATTCATGGGACTTGGTTCCATTATGTGCTGAAATTGGTGTCAAACCTTTGACCCTGTGATATTTGGATTACTCAGCAGATTTATACATCAGTTATCTAGAGGATTGTACAGTTGTTATACTGAACTTTTGAACCTATGTCATTGCACCTTGCATCATAGCATGTTTATGTTACACACAAAAAATGTGAAAGATTGTATGCATAAAAACGATGTTTCAACATGGCATTGCATCTGCTCACTCACCTCATGCATCTTCATGCATCTTCATGCATCTCATGCATTTGTAACAGGTAGTCAGTGTGGGGAATTCTTATTCAGGCCCGATATTTTCTCTTCAGAATGGTGAATCTTGACTTTTCACCGCTCCGTTATCTGAAAAAGTCGTGGAATAAATTTGTGGGGAGTTCGATGAGATAAAAAAATCAGATGGGGTTTGTTGTACCCCAAAATTTGCCCTCCCATTTCCTCAACATTTTCTCATCACAAAACCCTTGGAGCTCAAGAACCAGTTAGGGTTTCCTCTGCTAAAGACTTCTCCTTGCACTGTGGACCCAAATTAGGGTTTGTGTTTGAACAAAGATATTTTGACCTAAAAATGCCTAAGATGACTTTCATGCTTCATGTTGGACTCCCAAGTTTATCCACACCAAGTTTCAAGTCTTGATTCCAAATTTTGCCCAGTCAATTGGACAGTTGACCTAGAAATCAACTGTATTGGGGAAAAGTCAACTGTGGCCAATTGACAGTCAAATCTCATGAAATGTGACCCACATCAACATTATGAACTCAAATGGACCATTTGGTCAAGTTTGGATCACAATTCCACAAGAAATTTGATCAGATCACCAAAAGGGCAAAATGGTCATTTTTAGGGTTTTGACTGCACAAAGGCAATTTTTGACTGTTTGACCTAGCCAATGGCAAACCAAGCTCACATATAGACTCAAGGACCCCATGGAATTGTCTTGACATACTCAACAAGTTCAAAAGATCCCAAATACACAAGATTGACAGTTGAATTTCCCAGTCAATTGATCAATTTTGACTGTATACTGAAAAGTCAAACTTTGACTTTTTTGTCAAAATCAAGTGTCAAGATTCATTTTTCATCAAAACATGCCAAATCATGAAACTTGTTCATCAAGAAATCAAGAATTGCAAATTAGGGTTTGAAATGAAGATTTTTCATAACTTAGAATTTTTCTAAGTTATGAAAAACCCTAATTTTTTCCCAACTTTGTCCCACTTTCTCACCAAGATTCATTTGGATTCAAGCAAAAGTCAAAACATGAAAGTTGTAGCCTATTGCAAAATCTACAACTTTGATTCACAAAGTTTTCCCAAAAGAAGCTTGTATCTCAAGTTACAATTTTTGGAACAAGGGTATCAAACCATTCTTAACTTAGAGAAAATTTGACCTATTTTAGGCAAGGTTTTTACCTAACTTCAAGACCATTTTTCACATACTTCCACTTGGAATTTCAATTTGCATTTCAAAGATGGATTTAATTACACATTCCAAGATTTCCAAAATGTCCAAGAACTCATCAAACAACCTCATGGTTTGAGAGAATCGAATTTTGCAATATGGGAAAAACTCACTTTTGTTATGGCCAATTTCCATGTTCATACATTTGTGCCATTTTGAATTCAGTATGATTTCCTTGATTACAGGCCTCTAAACCATCCAACACTAAATAATTTAATGCTAACTCATTGTGCCAAGGCCTTGTTTTATGAGTTTAAGCATTACATGTTGAACTAAGCCATTTATAGAAAAAGCAATTTAGC